TTAATACATTTCTTTTCGAGGTCGTGTTATACATTGAAGGTAATATAAAGGTCTTATTTTTTAATTTCATAAAACAATTTTTTCAAGGTAAAAACATTAAAAAATATACTTAGCGGTCTTTTTTTACATTTTTAATGTCTTTTTTCCACGGATTTTACTAATTTTTGCTAAGTTTTTGTTTCATTAATAATAAAATGATTTTGCGTGATCGTGTTTTATATTGAAGATAATACCATATGGATTTTTTAAATTTAATACGACAAATTTTTTTCGAGGTATAATGTTCACAAATTGATTTTATTCATTGTATTATACACTGAAGATAATACCAATTTGGTTTTTTAGATCAATTATAATAAAATACAGTGTTTACGAAACTATTTTATCCTTATTATTTAAATATCAAGATGAACAAAACTACTTTAGAAAAATTACTTTTTAATTATGATTATTGCTACATGTGGGCGCCGTGGCAGAGAGTGGGCGCCGTGGCAGAGATAGTTAAGTCACAAAGTCAAAGCTGCAAAGGAACCAGGTTCAAATCCCACCGAGAACAAAAAAAAATATAAAAATAAAAAAATCGGCGCCCCACCTCTCGGAAGGCAATGGCAAACCACTGGGAGTACTTCTGCCAAGAGAATCTAAATGGAGACGATAGAATACGAAATGAATGGACAGTCGGGCGATCCGGCTGACCACCGGCGCTGCCTAACCGGGCTAGGCAGTGTGAAATGTGCGACCGGCCATGTGCGCGCGGCGTACCAGGCCGCACACGGAAACTACGCGACTGGTGCCAAAGGAGCTTCAATAAGACGTCCTCGGCGTATCGGAACATGGAATGTACGAGGCCTCAGGAAAGATGGGAAGCTCCAAATAGTGGAGGGGGAAATGCAGAGGAATAACATTCATCTGCTGGGATTAAATGAAACCCACTGGCAAGAGTCTGGCCACTTCACGTCCAGTTCCGGTAGTACGATATACCACTCAGGGGGAAATGGAAGCAGCAAGGGGCATTCATAGGCTTTCCCCCACAGCTTGATAAATGGGTCGCATGATACATTCCTGTAAACGACCGCATAATTACGATCAAGCTAGATACAATACCTTGCAGACTAAACATCATCTAAGTCTACGCTCCAACCACTCAATCTACTGAGGAGGAAATCGAGCACTTCTACGACGTACTGTCTCAAACCATCAGAGGAATACCTAGGAGGGAAGTCACCATGGTCATTGTATTTCACGGAGATTTCAACGCAAAAGTTGGGAGAACCGAAGAAGACGACCATCTACGACGCATAGTGGAAATACAGACTGGGCGAGAGAAACTAGAGGGGCGATCGCTTATTACAATTCTGTGATGGAGAGAGCCTTACTCTCGCGAACACTTGCTTTGACCATCACAAACGGCGCCTATACACATGGGTATCGCCAAAAGACAGATGCAGGAATCAGATAGATTACATACTAATTCAATCGCGTTGGAGGTCATCCGTGCTAAATGCGAAAACATACCCGGGTGCGGACTGCGGAAGCGATCATCAGCTGCTTGTGGCGACGTTGCGAATTAATTTTAAAAAAATGCGCAAGCCAGAAGTCACACCAAACCTGACGAGAGTGGACGTGGATGGCTTCAGACAAGACATAGAACACAAGCTAGAAAAAGTGTCACAACGCGGTGACAAGAACAACAACTCCTTATAGGAAGCACTCAAGGAAGCAATGACGCAAACAGCCAAACAGAACATGCTTCCTCGAGTAAGCAGGAAGAACTTCATCACGCCAGGGACGGCTGATGTCATCCTCAGGAGACAAGAACTAAAAAGGAAAAGACTAAGCTCAGAGAACGAGCATGAGCAATACTCACGATTGAACCGTGAAGTGCAGAGACGATGCCGAAGTGACAAAAACGCATATATTAACGACATATGCGCCGAACTAGAACGTCACTCAGTTAAAGGCGAAATCAAGTCTCTTTTCTGCAAAGTTAGAGAACTAACGAGGCAACGAAGTTCCAGGACCTGGGTCATTGAGGATGACAGCGGACGAGCAATCAGCGAGGTGGAGGAGGTCCTGGAGCGGTGGAGACTGTACTGTGAAAATCTGTACGACT